GTACGTCTACTACTACGTAGTAGTAGTGTATATATATATATATATATATATATATATATATATATAGCACACTCTCTCCTCTCTCTTTCCTGCTTCCTAAGGGGGCCGCCCAGCTAGGCGGTAATTGACTTCCTAGTAGGTACCTAGTCACCACGCTCCATCCGGAAGGTGCAAATACTGGCGTACCGTTCTTCTCAAGTTAAGTGCCATGGTGGCGGTGGTGGTGGTGTTGATGACGGAGGTCGTGATCATGACGCCGATGAAGGTGCTCAGACCCGTTGCGCTTTGCAGGGGTACTCGGTGTGGGTTGTTGCGGTTGGTTCTAGACATGTACCGTAGAGTTTTAGCTCAGAGCCCTTGGCCTGGGGAAGGGGGAAGGAGGACGAGGAGGGGGTGGTGAGCGAAGTCGATTGAGAACGAGAGGAGGGGCTGGTCGTAGAAGGTGAAGGGGGAGAGAAGCGGACAACAGCTTCTGGAAATAGGGCAGCATACCAGACCGTGAATTGACACTCTTATTCTCGAAGACGAGGTGATAGAGACCTGGGAAGACTCCGCAGAGGAGGATCCGGTACAGAGGCCCGAGATAAAAAGCGGGTTTTTCGCCTGAGACCGCGGCTGCTCGCGGTAGAGTTGACATTCCTTGCCGGAACTGGAATACAGCCAGGCCCGACAGGAGGACACCTCGCCACATCTTGTTGCACAGGCAGAGGCGCTGGGGATCTCGAAGGAGAAGGTCAAGGGGGCATGGCTGAAAAAGGAGATTGTGTTTTCTTGGATGACTGGTGAGCAGGCAGAGGTGAACTCCAGCGCTGAAATTGCTCTTGTTTGGAGGGCAAGGAGGATGACACCAATGGACATGGACCAACGAGGTATCTTCATGTTGATTCAGAAGGACTGAGCAAGCACAGGCAAGCAGAGACTGTGCAGGTGTCGCGATCTTCAATGAGGTGATATAGGAGGGGCGAGCCAACCCATGATGACAGACGACGAACAAGAGTTCCAGTCGTCTGACTTATCTTTGACTTTGGTATATAGGTGTACGGCAGGTGCAACTGAGAAATTAGATATTGAACCCAGGCACTAGACCAGGGACTATTGAAATTAGTGTAATGGGGACTCGGGGCAACGGCTGTTTACGGCTATAGCCTGTTACCGTTGTGGAGCCGCATTTTAAGATCTCTATATACCCTTGCACTAAATCGAGACAACCCCCAAAGACTAATGGTAGACTAATGTAAGTTTTTCATTTCATTTCAATGAAAGGAAGGCGAACCGGAATATAGCAAGATAGATCTAGAGCCTGTTTTTCACGGACGCCCTGCGAACGGTCCGGCGTCGGGACAAGATCTTACGGGGATTCATATCCAGCACCAGCTGTTCCATCCCTCGCCCGTCGTGCCGTCTTTTCATCGTAAGGGAGAAGCGTGATAATATGGTGCCCCACGCACGCATCAATGGCCTTTTGCGCGCGCTTGTGGTCGCCGAGAAATTCTCCACGCCAGATTTCTGCCTCGGCCGCAGATATCGGCCAATGCTCAATGTGTTCCATGACAGAACACACTAGCTCTGGAGGTAAGCGCTTATCTAGATTGGCTGCCTGTCTCGCGGCCGTGGCCCACCAGTCATGCTGTTGCGGAGGCACATTCCGGGTTGAGCAAATGCGGTAATGTGGGTCGACGAGACGAAGCTTGACCAGGGTCAAATTCCCCGGCTGACTGGGGTCCACCAGGCGAAATGGCTCTTGCTTGGTGCGATAGGTATTGGGCCAGGTCAGCAGTTGGCCCTCTCTGAGCGGCGTCGTGCCGAAGGTATGCAGGGCTCGGGGGGGTCTCCTCTCGGTGTAGGGCTTCCAGTAGTCCACATCGAGAACCGTTGCGAGCGCCTGGGGCACCTCGCACTGGAGCTCACTGGCATGGACTTTGTCTTCGTGCTGAAACGCCACGCGAGCCTGGGTGACATTCTTGGCCTCCACGGCATAAACGCTGGTGGCAACAATCCGTTCGTTGCGCAGTCCCTCGGTGTGGAAGTGGCTCTCCCCGGAGTACGTTGGATTCTCCGGCGTCAAGTCGATGCGGGCGATCTCCACCACGACCTGGAGGCCTTCGACTCGAAATTGCTTCTCCAACTTCACCGGGGTGTAATCATGGTGCAGGGGATCGGGAAATCTGCTGATTCGCTGCGAGTGGATTGCTCGCCCCGTAAATCGGCCTCGCTTCCATTGCTCATACGAAAAGGAATGCCCGGGCTCGGGGTGATCAAACCAGGCTTGGCGGGTGCGCTTGAGTCTCGCAAGTATGCGCACCTGCTTAGGGATGTCCCACTGTCCCGGAGTGAGCAGATCCAGCAAATTGTCCGGCGCGTCGGGTAGGGGATCCGCCTGCTTCCATTTCGGTGGCTCGGGCCCTTGCACGTACTCCCGGACCGCGCTACAAAGCTCTTGCCACTCCTCGTACATCTTGCATTGCATCTGCCAGCGGGGATACGATTCCATTCGGTCGAATAATGGGTGCTCCTCGCGAGGTTTATGGATTCTGCATCCATAGGTCAGGATGCGTGGCGGATGGCGGCCACGGGTATTACCGTAAAATAAGACCTCATTCCACGAAGGGATGGAACGCGCGATCAGGTGTTCAAGGTGTCCATACAGCTGACGGTGCTCGACTGGGTGTAGGTTATTGACGTAGGAAGTGATTCGGATGTCCATGGGGTCCGTGTCCGTGTGCGCTGTCGCCGTATCCTTGAACTGTACTTCACAGGGAAGCCATTGAAAGCGGTTCGACCAGCAGCTCTCCTGCCCACCAAGCCCGGGCTTGCGATGTAAAACCGTAAAAGGAGTAATCGGATGTTGGAGACCATCTAGGGGATGAGGAGGAGGAGGAGGAGCCGGCATGTCTCCGACAGAATTCCCCACCGAGCTCCATAGATCGCTCAAAGCCACATGGCCGCCATGAACGAGGACTCTGGAGTGGCCATAGACGAGAGGATACAGGCACGGATCCACCAGGGGGCAATCTGGAAGTACCAGCGGCGATGAGCGCAATCGGGCTACCTCGGCTTGGAACCCTTCTTTTAGCTCTTTTTCCTGGGACGGTCGGTTGGACCCTGGTACTGACACATCGGATTGACACACGACCGAGGAGCTGTCAAAGATCAAAAGACGGCCTGTTTTCCGCCACTCCCGGGCCTTATCGCGCAGTTCGGCCAGGCACCAATCCCATGCGGCCGCACTGATGAGGAAGCCCTCGGGTCCTTCCGTGGCCTCTCGGTGCCAGTGCGTGAGGAGGGCCTGATCGGAGTCCAATATCGCACGATCCCATTCGGGCTGCTCCGTAATGCGTTGCATGAGGCGAAGCATGGCCATCTCCCGTCTGGTCAGGCGAGGGGAGTGGCGATAGTCCACGAGGCCATGGGCAAAGCGCGCCTCTGGCGGAAGCTGATAGTCTAAGGGGATGGAGCCGAATCCAGGCACCTCGAGCGGGCCTTCACCAGTGTTGACAAGCCTCGTCATGATATTTTTGTTTTTGTTTTTTTCTTTTTCTTTTTCTTTTTCTTTTTTTCTATGAGGGGGGAAATTTCAGTAGAGTGATTAATGATTCCTGGCCCAGGGAATGGGAATGAATTCGTGATGGGGTTTAAATAGTGGAATGGTGCAGTTTAATTGATTACTTAGGGTTACTTAGGTTTACTTAGGTTTACCTAGGTAACAAGTTAATTTCACTACCTTTACCGCGTTCGGGCTTCAGCTCCGTGCCACTTGTCTCTTCGATGACTAGTCACGGAAATTATTTATTTTAATCAAGATTTCGAAAGACACATACAGATAGCAGTACACAAGCAGTAGAGTTAGAGAAAAAAAAAAAGAAAAGTGAGAGAGAGGAAATAGAGAGAGAGAGAAATAGGCTGGAAAGAAAGAGAAAAAGGCAATAGCAGAAAGAACCGGAAGGGCTGCAGACGGGAAATCCTTCAGCAAAGATGAGAGAGAAAGAGAGAGAGAGAGACCGAGAAGGATATCCTCTCCCTAGCCCCTTCCAATTCAATGGTCTTTTTCAAGCCAAGCCAAGCCAACAGAGTGAAGGATACGTACATCATCCCAGGGCCTTACAGGTAGCTAAGCTGCCCAGGGCGTCGGACTGAGTGCGGATCGATTGCGCGATCTTCACATGGATTTGCAGCTTTTCGGGATCATACTGATCGGTGGCCAGGTTTCGCCCCATCTCCTCGAAGCCATCCAACCTATCCTGAACGTTGGTGTTGGTAGCCGCAGCAGTGGCCTCGGCGCTTGCCAACCAATCGATGTCCTGATAGTTGAGCAATGCCGCTTCCAAGCTCACCGTTTTCTCTATGATTCTTGCGCCGGAAAACGAGTCGCGTACAAAGCTCTTCTTGTCCGCTAGCATATCCTGCTCACGCTCAGCATGAGCCGACGCGAGTGCCGTTTTAGCTTTTGCGAGAAGCGCCCCCTGAAGTACCTCTGGATGGTTATCACGTGCGGCAATGAGAATATTGGTGGCTTTCTCAAGCACCAGAGTGTGTTTGACATATTCGCCAAACATGGTCTCAGAATTGTATCGATCGAAGCCATTGTCGTACATGGCTTCGGCGAGCTCTAACAGGTCATCAGGGCGAGTGGTGTCGCCAATGCCCCCTCCGTCCCCAAGAGATGCCGCGTCAAATGGGGTCTCAATGCTTTTGATGAACTCCCATACGGTGCAAACAGTGCCTGTAAGGGGAGTGCACTGTCTGCCTAGGGTCCGCTCGTCTCCGTTGATAGCTATGTCGGCCAGGTAGCCATAGTAGAGATATATGGCCTCAAAACAGTGCGCCAGAGCGGAGCCTCCGACCACCTGGGCGAAGGCATTGCCGGAAAAGAAGGCCAAGAGCCAGAGAAAGACAATGGCAGTCCGCATGATAGAAAACCAAAGAAAGGCAAACGAAAGAGACAGAACGAGTGAAGAAGCTGGTAGGTACTCCGCGCGTAGAAGGATTGAAGCTGTTAGCATGCTTTCATCCAGCTTGCTTCAACCGGACATGATTTATACAAGTCGAAAACGGATGCAAATCTCCGAGATAATTCCTCCCAATTCCATCTGGCGGAGCCCTTCCGATAGTATCTGCTGGCATGTCTCTATTGGGAAGTTCTAGTATACGCCTAGGTAAAAACGGTGAGAACTAAGGCAGCGGATAATTCGAGCCAGTGAGAGAGCTAGAGGGTTAGGGCCAGTTATTGTAATTAGTCCTGCGTGGTTTATGTAGCGTCAAGGTCCGAATGAAAAAACTATATTAGAAATGGATACTGTGATCATAGTGGATAATATCTGTCTTTGACCTTTTCCCTCTTCTTCTCTTCCCTTTTACCTTTTTCCTCATTTTTGTCTTTCTTTCTTCTTTCTTTTTTTTCTTTTTTCTTTTTCCTTGGTGGTTTCTTCGTCCTCTTCTCCCTCGTTTTATCCTGTTCCTGCTACCTCCACTGGGAATGTGCAATAATGTTGACTATATATGATCTGCGAATTCCGGCTCCTACTGCCATGATGAAGCAAGGTTTTTAGGATAGGCAACTGTCTGTCTCTAGTTTTTCAGTCACTCATTTTGTCTTTCAATCAGCGCTTCTGGTTTCCTTTCCTTTGAAGCATCTTATCTTCATTCTTTAGAACTCTGCTTGCACAACGTCATTGAGCTTCCATTATTTGATTCAAATCTGGTGGTTCCGATACTTTCTTCTTTTCAGATTCATCTACAATGGGGCTTCTTCAGAGTCTTGTTGTTACAACGTGTATGCTAACTTGCCAAGTTCAGGCGAGAGCAGTGTTTGCACATTTTATGGTGCATGATGCCCCTCTCCCCCCCACTTCCTTTCCGATCATCAACGAGCAAGCGAACTAATGAATACTAGGTTGCGAACACAGCTGGATATGGCGTGTCTGACTGGGAGAACCATATGACCGAAGCCATTCACGCGCATATCGATGCGTTCGCTCTTAATATTGCGAATGGAGAGAGCACCACCGAGACCTCTCTCGGCAATGCTTTCATAGCCGCCCAGAGCACTGGGATCCAGCTGTTCTTCTCGTTTGATTACGCTGGGAACGGCGCCTGGGCTAAAGCAGATGTGATCAGCTTGCTCAACGCCTACGGCGGCACCTCGGATACCTATTGGCATCACAACGGCCAACCCTTATGCTCAACGTTCGAAGGACCGGGCAATGCTGCCGACTGGGTAGACATTAAGAAGCAGACTGGATGTTTCTTTGTTCCAGACTGGTCTTCTCTCGGCGCCAAGGTGGCAATGGAGCAAGCTGATGGGGTGGCCGACGGGCTCTTTAGCTGGGCTGCCTGGCCGTATGGCCCGTCAGATATGGATACCTATACCGATGCCTCCTACCAACAGTACCTGGGTGGTAAACCCTATATGATGCCCGTATCGCCGTGGTTCTTCACCAACATGCCCGGGTATGACAAGAATTGGCTGTGGCGCGGTGATGACCTCTGGTATGATCGTTGGCAACAGGTCCTTTATCTCGCCCCCGAATTTGTTGAGATTATTTCCTGGAATGACTACGGCGAGTCTCACTATATTGGTCCTTCGTACGACAGCCATAATGCACTGGCCGCGGCCTCTTACGTCGCCTTTGGCCAAGGCTATGGCGATGCGCCCTACAACTACGCCGAAGCCTATGATCACAGCGGCTGGAGAGCTTTGCTTCCTTTCCTCATCGATACGTATAAGAACAATGTTACCACCATCACAGAGGAGGGCCTGTCAGCATGGTATCGCTTGAACGCGGCCGGCGCGTGTGCCTCCGACGGTGGGACCACAGGGAACACCGTGAGCCAGTTGCAGCTGGAGTATCAAGCCAAGGACATCCCGCAGGACAAGATCTTCTACTCCGCAGTGTTAGGCTCGGCCGCTCAGGTCTCGGTCACAGTAGGTGGTATAGACCTAGGAGCAAGCTGGACTCACACTCCTAGCGGCAACGCAGGCATCTATCATGGCAGTGTCGCATTCACTGGCCATGCTGGGGGGGTGACAATCACCATCACCCGTGATGGTAATACCGTGGTTTCACTCGGCGGCAACGAGATTTCCAGCGGGTGTTCAAATACCCTTGGGGCGGAGAACTGGAACGCCTGGGTCGGCAGTGCGATGGCGGGGAACGCCATCTCGGTGAAGCCTACTTCGCTGGCCGATCAAGTCTGCGTTGAGGGCTGGGGGAAGGGCAACTTCGCCGGGCTATGCGAATTTACTTGCAGTCTAGGGTATTGTCCCATGGGAGCTTGTGTATGCTCGAAAATGGGACCCCCGCCTACTATGCCCAAGGCCACGGGGATCCGGGGCTACCCCATAGCAGGCGAGAGCCCCAGCTATAGCGGACTTTGTTCGTTTGCCTGTAACTATGGCGATTGCCTTGAAGGCGTCTGTGGCACGGTGGAGGTGCCCCTGACCATACCAACTGTATCCCCGTTTACTCCGGATACCTGCACCGCGGGGACTGGATCCGGGGCGTTCGCCGGCCTGTGTAGTTATGGCTGCAATGTGGGATACTGCCCTATTCACAACTGCACCTGCACGGCCACGGGTCCCCTAAACGTCCCCGCAGCTGCCAACACCAGCATCACTGGTATCTCGACCGTTGGTGGGGACAGCGGGCTCTGCAACTTTGCCTGCGAGCGCGGGTACTGTCCCGGTCCCACCTGTGTCGACAACGCGGACAACATGGACCCCTGCGCGACTGACGACGGGTCCAATCCCGAATGTGCGTTGTCCGAGGTCTGCGACTTCAGCCAGACCTTCGCCACCCTGGACGCGCTGGAGGCCGCAGTAGACACGCTGCAACCCGCCTGCGTGGATTTCTACACACTCGACGGGCTGGCGACGGTGCTTCAGCAGACCCTGACCAACTACACGGGAATCACTAGCAGCTACGACACCAAATTCGACGATTATGTCAAGTACGTCAAGGAGATGATTCCTGACCAGCTGGCGGCGTTCATGAGTACCGACGCCCCCTATGGGCCTGGAAACGCCTATTTCCAGTGCACGTACAGTCAAAACGGGCGCAATCACACCACCGGCTCGTGCCCCGGCGACATTGGCATTGACACAGGTACCTTCACTGTGTACTACCAACTCGTGGACGCGGAAGGCTTCTACGGCAACCTGTCAGCCGACTATGGCATCGACCAGTCCTGGGTGCAGTTTGGCACGCAGGAGCTCGACGAGCCGTGCACGCCCGCCATGTACAAGACGGGCTGCGCGGCGATCCACCGTACCTACGCCGGGTTTCCGGTCAAGGCGGCTGACAGTGCAATCACGGTGGCCAACCCCAAGGAGATCATGGTCCAGGCGCTGCCCAATGTGCAGAATCTCACGGCAACCATCAGCGTGGCCAAGATCGAGCTCGCCCTGGGCTCGTGGCTGGGCACCACCGACGACCTGGTGCAGTCGTTGTCGCTGGCGGTCTTCATGCTCAGCCAAGCGGTAGCCAGCATGCAGGCAGTGGTCGCCACCGCCGACTCCTACGAGGCTGCCAAGAAGAAGGAGATGATCAACGAGATCCTGATGGGGGTGCTCCTGGTCGTGCCCTTTCTGGGTGAGCTGGAAGCGGTTGCGGACGTCTTTGCGGGCCTGTCGCGCATCATCACGATGATCGGCGATGTCGGGATTGGGGCAACCACGGTTTATGCCATCGTCGACAACCCCAAGATGGCCCCGCTGACGATCTTGGAAACCCTCCTGTTGGGCGGGATGCGCGACCCCAATGAGTTCGCCACCATGGGTTCGGTGAGACGCGCTATGACTAAAGATGAAATCAAAAGTCTAGGCACCGAGATCGAGGCCCTAGACGACCAGTTTCAGTCGATTGTCGCGAAGTGTTTGTCAACCTGAGCCCGATCCCCTTCCAAGCTATCTGATCACCTTTGTACAAGTACACCAGCATCAGGTCTGTTGTTTTAGTGGACGAAGTCCCTTGCCTTTTCCTGTTTGGTTGAGGGCACAGCTTACTGCTTCGGTCGTGTGTCGATAATTTCTCTTCAGAGCCCTAAGATCCACCATCTTTATACTCCTTATCGGGTTATGGGCCCTCTGCCTGGTTCGTCTGCTTTCCACTAAGAAGTATTATTTTTCATAGTCACTTGTCAATCTCTCTAAACCTTCCAAATTGAGCAAGTTCTCAAAACCTTATGGATCTCGGATTTCTATAGATGTTTATTATCTTTGTTTTTTTTTTTCTTTTTCCCCTTTAGTATCTTCCTGCGGAGAATTGATAATAGCAGCAAATTGCTCAGGACATGCATCGACTATCCTATTTATTCGTCTGTGATTTACTACATGGATAATATACAGCAATCTCAATGAAGCAACGGACCGTGCTCCCGCCAATGCTACTGTAGGTTGATCGATGTCAAGATGCCTGTTTGCCATTACGTGGGTCGGATCAGGTCGGACGGTTGATCATCGTATGTATTTTATGGTTCGTTCCTCCAGAAAAAGCACTGAATACTCTTCCGGCGCTGGGGAGCTCTCGGCACACTGACCAAATGGCTCTTTGTTCCAACTTCCTCGGCGCAAACGGTGTCGGGGTGGTGTCGGAGACCAGTGGTCTTCTGTTCTTCGCAAGCATGTGTGTATGACTGACTTGTCCATTCTGCGCGTGACCTGCTACCACTGTTGCGCTACGGTAACATGGATTTTTCAGTTATTCGGAAGTGTATTTGATCAGGGACTTGGCTAGGTCACACAGGAGCCCTGAGAGACGTGCACCGACCCCGGCGCCTAGAAAAGAGCGTGAACTGAGGCGATGCTGCAAGCGAACGGTAGACATCGTCGACCCCCCTTCGCTGGTTGCTTATTTGCAATGGATTTTCTTTCGGGGCATCACACGAACCCCCTGCTTCACATCCGGAACATCATGCGGAGCGTACCTAATCGTCCAAACCAGTGTAATTGAGCCATTGTTCGTGCGTAACTAAAATCGGGTCGGGGTACGCATCTCTGGCCGCGTTAGCAAGCAAACGCACAAAAGGAAAATGAGGTAAACTCTCCAGTAGGAAAGAGATGTAGATAGTCCTGTCGACGCTGTTGCCGACGCAAAGATGTTCAGCCATGGTTAAACGTGCTAGGGCTTGCTTGTTTACTGCTTCAAACCCCCCACAGGGACAGTCTCATAATTGACGTCTGCAACATTTTGAGGTACAAGAACACGACTTTTCTAGGCTGATCCGTAAGCGAGATTCTCGCCGTTCAGGGACGAAGGTGTGGCTCTATGGGATGAGGGCTCATTGTCTCCGAGAGATTCAGTGGACATCAGTAGGAGATCACAGGTTGACTTGCTTCGAACAGGTCATGCTCTTGATTATATGAGTCAAGTATTTGTTTATCAGATAGAGAGTAAGCTAGGGTATGATAGAAGATGGAGTTTGAAGGACGCAAGACGAATGGGAGCCCATGTTTTAGGCTCGTTGAGAAGAGGAAGCTGAAGTTAGACAAGACGAACGAATTAGCTGATCGTCTGGTTGGCGGACGTCAACCCTCTTTCTTTCTCCTTCTTCTTGCTTTTGTGCTTTCGGGGCCTACTTCCCTTCTCTAATAAAGTGCAGAACTTCTTCAGGCAAAAAAATTTGTTTAAGCAGAGTCACAAACAGCTTGGGGAAAGGATCTTCTCGTCTGAGTGCTCTGCTTGACGCAGATCTCTGCGCCACGTGGGAAGACCGTACATGTGCGTCTTGCGTGGATTCGTTGCACAGCGAGCATATCTGCCGAGTGCGGACGCGATATCAGAAGCAAAAGAGAACGGCAAGCTGGCTCATTGCTCAGACTCGGCAGACTGAAGAGCAGGAAGGAGACTACCCAGGACATTTCTTAATAGCATTCGATTCGAAAACAAGAAAGTACTTTAAAGACGGTAATGCTGACACCTAGCAATATAGATCCGGTCTGTTAGCGCTTCGTGCATTTCCAGTCATGCCTTTCTTCACCGCAAGGGTGAGCGGTGGTGTGGCAGGGCGAGGGTGACATGCTTCGCGTTATGATTCTTCTTGTCATTGATTATGTGGGGACTGGCCGCCGTGACATCGAGTAGATTGTCGTAGATTCGGAGGAGCTCTTCCCCCGTGAAACCAGAGTTGTCTTTCTTCGATTTTGGCTACACTTTCTGCTTCCTGAACTGGTTCCAGGACCATCTTCAAGCTTCCAGCCGCTAGCTTTTACCGTCAGAGTACTAGACAATGTTGCACGCCATTCTCTACATAAACCCAATCGCTAACGATCAGCTAGCGATTGAGTCTTTTGTTAGTTATAATTGGAAAAATGATGATCAGCCCGCCCAGTAAGATAGGATAGTTATATACTATTTTGCCGTCCGAAAATGCACCTGCAGGCTAGCTGCATCACGGCAATTCACGTTGCATGCACTTCCAGTTGCTCCTCATTTCAGCTCCAGCTAATTGCTGGTAGAGTAGAGTAATTTATTCTTTACTTGCAATGGCTTCTGTTGTTTCCAAGCCGGGAATGATTGGTTGGCTCTGGGGCATGCCTCAATGTACTCGCACCCCTGAGTGACTACTCTTGACTTTGTTACTGCTGTCGCATACTCAAGCAATGGCTGCAGATTAAGAAGAAGATAAAGACTCTCTCTTCAGCAGTGGGCCGTAGAAAGATACATGAGTCCCGTTGGGCGCTCTGGATCCCGATGGACCGTACCTGAGTTCCTATCAGTATGCTCTTAAGGCTGACTTAATTTTCTAGCAGATCTTACTCGGTGTTTTGGCTTGCTTGAGGGAACAAGGAGGTGCCATCCGTCTGGTAAGATGGACGGTGGAGGCCAGGGGAAGTCAGACTGCTAATAACTGCGGCCCATATTATGCCCACCAGAAAACATAAACTTTCTTCGCTTATTGCATGGATCATAATGATCTCATGGCCGGATCAAATGGCCCCCTCCTTCCACATCAAGACGGAATTAGAGTTGGGCTATTTGCCAGCTCGCACATTTCTTCGGCAAAGTCGGGTCGAACGCCTCGGCTTCAGCTGTTCTCCAGAGAGACTTCATCGAGTATAGCGCCGATTGTGATGAGGAAACCTACAATGACTAGGAGTTTATTCTCATACTTCATAGTTACAGATCTATTCTGTAGGTGAAGCTTTCTCATCACAAGCTGGGCCAATATCACCATTTTTATAGTCTCGAAACAGTGACCCAGATTTAGTCAGTAACAACGCTATGCCTTCTTCTCTTAATACCAGATACCGCGTATAGCAAGACATGGTTAACGCAGTCGAACTAGTCCGGAGTAGTTGATATCTGCGAAGTACGCAAGCCTCAGTTTCAGCTGTAAGTAGCTAACGATATCTGCCAACCGACATCTGCCTACCGACATGATAATTAGATCTTTTGTGGAGTTGTTATAGACGCCTCCTTCCGGATCCAGGGTAGCGAACTACATGCTCAAATAGCTGAGCTCTAGTCGCTTCAGTATTGAAAGTAGTTTTCTTAGAAATCATCTTTATTCTATATACTAGTAGCGCTCTACACCGCCCTACTTCCAATATCGCCTTCCCATTCTATATCATTCGGCTCGAAGTACGATCATGGGGGAAAAAAAATACCTGTAATTAACCTTTGCTCAATCTTGTAGAAGATTCGATTATCCGATAATTAGATGGTACCGGTCCATGCGCGTATAGATGATCCTAGCATGCTGCGGTCCCACGCCCGCGCGAAAGTCGGTGCTCTTTTTCCGAGTTACTTGGTATCTGGATAGTGTCTTGCGCATGAATTTTCTCTCGATTCTTCTCTGTTTGGGAAAGAACCATGCTCATTGAACAGACGCTGGACCGCATGCGCTGTGGGGAGGCCCGACGAGGATTGATTGGCGGATTGCTTCTTTCCACTTAAGTGCTTTTGGATTCTCTTGTTTTGTAAAGATCTTGTGTCCGCGTGTAACTTTGCCCTCGATCTGCCTTGTTGTCTTTGCGGGCTTTCGGCTTCGGGTTTCTCCGTAATAGACATGCGCTAACTTCTTTGTGATGCTTAGGATTTCTGTCTGCCACTGGTAAATGAGGTGTGGAGGCACCGGAATTAGTATCGGCTTCATTCGATAGCTTGGACCTAGGTGGTCCTGGATGCTCAGCTCCAAACCACACATCTGAGCCACACAGCCTGGAGCATCAAGAGGAGTACTAGAAGACTCTTCAGACAAAAGTAACAACTTCATGGCTTTTCCTTTCTCTTTTTCTGTATTAGCAAAAGGCTGAAAAAGACCAAAGAAGGCGACGTCGCAAAGACCAGCAAACAACTCGGTATTTTATATTCGAACGGAGTTCGTCTCCGTGCGTACAGCTGTAGTAGCTTAGGCGTACCTTTGCTACTCCGGGGAAAAACATGTGAGTTGAAGATCAATCTTGACACCAAGCGTAGGATGATCCCAGACGGTGATGCTCAGACAGAATCCCAGACTACTCCGGCATCTGGCCAATGCTTCTCTCAGGAGGGTGCGGCAGAGTCATGAATACATCACGACTGATGGAGATGGAGGAAGGAACGACAAATGACGCAGGGAGAAGGGCAGGTCATGGCAGCGACATCTTTTTTTGAACTGATAGTTGCGTTTCCTGGCGAAAAGTTGACAAACGCGAACCAATTATTAGTCGAAGAACTTGCAATGTCCTGGATAGACAATCACTAGGCTCTAGAAGATTTCGGCCTGGACTCAGGGGTACGAGCCCTAATGCCATCTCTAGAGAATAGCTGGGATAATGACGCATGCGATGCATACGTAGCTTAACCTTAGTTCAGGAATTCTCTCCAACATCCCTCGACAACACACTGGGGCTCGCGGAGCGAAATTATCTTCTGAGCAAGGCGATTTTGACTTCTGCTTCGACGTCGGCTGCATGGGCTAAGAGCACGTCCACAATACAACGGCATACAAGAGCGCCCGACGTCCGTCGTGATTCCGCACATCTATCCCTGCGCCATACGTGAGAGGCAGCTCTACACAAGATGTGGGAGAGCGTGTCAAGCCTCGTAGAAGAGGATGTGCCGAGGCTAGTATCAGCACTGTCCCACACTGCAGACACGTCGTATTAATATTCGCTCCGGCGATCGAGAAGGGATGCGACCAGCAATATCACCGGCTAGTCTATTTTTCCCTGCGACTGCCCGAAACTTTTGCGGTGGGGTTCATAATGAAGGCCTAGATAGGATAGACTAGATTAGAGGTAGATGTAGAAAAGGGTGGTTAGTTCTCTTATTACTGTCCAATATGGCAGCGTATTGCAGAGCTGTCCGTCCCTATCTGGAGATCACTGTATCGATGGGCAAAATACTCCAGTAGTCTGAGATTTCGATAGGGACGGGGACTGTTTATAGTTCGTGGTAGAATATCGCAAGAGGATTTGGTGTAGTCTCGATGTTTTTGCCCAAGATGTCATTGCGGGAATCATCATTCAATCCACCAAGTTGTAATTGAATGGATGAGGAGGAGTCAACCTGTATTCCCTGAAAACAAGATAATTCAGTATGCATTAGAGAGTGTAATCTTGGAAAGCCTAACGTTGCCCGCAACAATAGCGGCTGCACCATTCAAATTTGTTTTTGATCCTGATTCATTTGCGGACCCTGATGCGGTATACTTTGCGGAAGCTATTCCGAAAGGTGTTGGGAGTCTGAAATATAATTGATAATGCTGATTAGGAAGATATCTAACCGACTCCGTACCTGTACTTTATTGGGCCGGGAGTTTCTGGTGGCTACCTTATAGTCAAGTGTAGGGCTCCGTGTTTTGACCGGAGATAAGCCATCTGCTTTCACAGAACGTTATTGTTTGTTTATATATATATGGCACGTTGATTTGATTGCTGAGATGAGAAGTGCATCTAAGGACTGGTAATATCTGGGGTATAAAATACGATATACCAGGTAAATAGTTTTACTCTTTTGACCGAGGGAAAGCTTCAGCACACTGGCTAAATTTGTTGCTCCAGCCTCGGGTTGCTTATTGTTGTTATGAAGAGGGTCTTCAATTGATATGATATTAAGTTCTATTTTAAGTTGACAAGACTTTTTCTTAGTTAATAGGATATATTTCGAAAGAGCCATCCATAGCAACAGTAGTAAACGGGTCATGTGCTTGGAAGCAAGTATATACTATTGGAATGTTTTGCTGCAAATCCCATCAACTTGCCGTAGCTTTCCTTGCTTGGCCTGAAATGCTCCAATCGCTGCTACTGATACCTGTGATAGCCATCTTATAGGCAGGATCTACAGAGCCTCTATTTACCAACTGAGTAGTAGTGCAAACCTCGTTTTTTGAATATTGCTATAGAATCTGTATTGCTTAGGTGTATTGTATCAATTCATCTGTTAGCACAATTGGCAGAGCTTCTATGCTACTTGTTCCAACCACCTTCGAAGCAACAATCTCGTCAGAGTAGCTATACATTCAATTGTTGTCTTCTATCATTGTTAGGTGAAGGTTTGTGAGTGTCTCCTCACTCCTCAATTCATTGGGGCTTGGTGCTCTAGGGGGCAACAAGAAGGACCAAAGCAAAGCAGCCCCGAGTGTCCGGCCCTGTGCACAGGCATCATCCGCAGTATATAGACTAGAACCCTACTTCGAGCACAAGGCGGGGGGCACATGCACCAGCACGTCTAAACCTAAAATGTATACCATGATATACTTCCACCTAACCTTTGATTCTGGCAATTCAACTCTCTTGACGGCCTCCTGGTCTGATGCTGTTGGGGCATCGAAGAGCAAGTATTCTGGCAAAGCATCTCATATTGTCTTGGGGAGGGATTAACCCCAATAATTTAGAGTGCTTTCTGTACTCTGAAATCGACCTTCACAGACCCCGTCGTTACACCAGCAGTGTTGACGAGCTTTGGATTATGAAAACTCGCAAGCCTGTGCCAGATCTCCGGCGTCCCAATGCCAAGCTGCTGCAGTATCTCCGTGACCGCCGCATAAAGAATGCCGATGTTGCCATCTTCGATTCTGACCGCTATCCCAATCGCTCCATCTCGTCCAGGCATCTGGGCGCATTCGGAGGCTCGGACGGCAACCCAGTAGCAGCCGTCCGCTCCCAGCTTACCGACCACTGCGCCCCCGTAGGCATCCATGAGAGTGGCGCAGAAGCGACCCTGTCCAGCGACCAGCTCCGGGTGCTGCACCATTGCGGTGAATACTTGAGACAAGTGTCGCCGCCCTGGTGGTGGATGAAATCGAGTCCGGACTACTCTGGACTTCATCGGCCGATTCAGCGAGGGGCGACCCAAACACCGTCGCGAGATTCTGTAGCGGAAGAGCGAGTGCTGGAAGATTACACCCGTCAATACACCAGGATGGAGCCAGATGACTAATGTATCTGACCTTTATTACTTCTCATTTGATCGGACTGGTTAACGTAGGGAATCGAGAGTCCAGTGAGGGCTTCTTGAGATTGCCTAGAAATAGTAGGAACCAATTGATGCAGGAAAGACTATTCCAAGCTCGGTCACTATAGGCGTTGGGGAAAAGGAAACGAGGTTATCAAAGGCCTACAATGACCCTCTCCTCTCCATAGTGTGGTGTTGGGAATCCAGAGTCTTGTTGTACTGTTCAACGCTGGGGAGAGAAACTTCCATAGTGATTATACATTCCATTCAAGGCTGGCGTGAAGGCACCATTCAGCTTTTAGACAGGAGATCTGTTTGGGATGTTTAGAAAAAGAACGGCTTCGCCTTGTTGGATGAGGCCAAATGAACGAAGGTTTCTGGGACCGTGCAGGGCGGAACTTACAGGCAGCACTACTATCTATACGTTAGGCCTAAGGCAGAAAGGAGACGTAGTAGGATACATACCTTTATTCTCGCAGGAATCCTGCTCGATAGTGCTGCTGCCGATAGTATTGACGCGGTATAGGTTTTATCCGGTTGCTTGGAGGGCCTTTTATGGGCGTCTAACTTAGTAACTTGAGTATCACACGGGTGTTGCTGCTCATGGCTCTGTGTTTTGTCTACGTTATACATTATTCCCAAGCAGCTATGGCAGTGCGCTAAGCGTCCGGCACGTCCACGGCATTCATCGCTGCTTTTTGCACTTTGCTATGGTTGGATTGGGAATTGACAAAACAGTACATGCTCTTTCTTGCAGACAGACCAATAACTTGCTAGTACTGGATAAGGTGGTGCAGGAGCAAAAAGAGATGGTCCCAGAGGGGCTCGAACCCTCGACTTTAACGTTATTAGCGTTACGCTCTAACCAACTGAGCTATGGGACCCGGTTGTTGTGATGGTGCTGAAATTAGCGCTCTATCAACCGTTTGTAAGAAGTGGTCGTAGAAAAAGCCAGGGAAGTTCTGTATTTGTTCGTGAGATCTGCGAAGGTTGTGGTGTTGTTGGAGGGGCGTTGGGGCTTGCTCGACATGCTTGTATGTTGAGCTGGTGCTTTTCGGTCAGTGGGGCTCTTCCGCAGTTAGTGGAATAATGGTGTACCTTAGGTGTGACCAATTTTGTGAGTGCATTGGAGGTCTTCTGCGTTAGTGGATGTTGCGGTATGTGCAAGCCATTGGACCGGTTGGTGTTGATGTCGCATTCGGTAGTCGTCTGCGGGTGTACAAGGCTAGCCACTGCATTTTATTGGGCGCGATGCCTCCTTTCTTGTACATATGTCCCAAACTCAATTCATTTTCATTTAGAGTTTGTTTATAAGATTGACCTGGGTGGTGCCAGTCAGCCACAAACCTTGCTAGCATGGCGCTACGAAGTGTCGAGTAAGTCACTGTTGTAGCAGCAACAAGCGGCCCATTTTTGATATACACCAAAGCTGCCAACCATCTGTGGGGTGTGGATGTACTACCGGACCTGGCACTGGATAGGACCTACATCGCGGCGCCTCGGTTTATCGGTCAACTTCCTTCTTCTGTCTCTTCCCATTCTCGGGCCTCTATCTCGACTTCCAGTGAGGTCCACTAGCAAAAATAGAATGCATGGGGACAAAAAGATGGTCCCAGAGGGGGTCGAACCCTCGACTTTAACGTTATTAGCGTTACGCTCTAACCAACTGAGCTATGGGACCCGGTTGTTGTTTTTGAGCTTGACTTAATGCATCATGTGCCAAGCATCAATGCTGTGTAGAGACTCTTGAGATACAGCAGGGTTGTGATGTTGGGGATCGGATGGATTGCGGTGTGTGTCTGTTGCCTGCTTGGGAGAGATCGGGTATTGATACTTGGTGGTTGATGGCGCTACTAATTGGGTGGTAATTACGTTTCTGCCGGCTTGCAGTTTTGTTCCTGGTAAAAGTCCAGTGTGGGTTGGGTGGGCTACGTAACTTATATACTGAGTACTGTAGTTGCCGCGGCTGTGTGGTCTACATGAACCCTACACAATAGGTATACTGTGCGTGTGCATCACTCCCGCGTCTGTCGGTACCCGCTGGCCCGGGCACGATTCTCAGGTGTGCACCTTATGCATGTATGTGCTTCTCCGCCAGGACCCATCAGACTGCATGATACACTTCCCGAATCGATCCTATTTCCTCGCCCCCCATAGTAGGTCAAATGATGCTAGACAGACCCCTTCTTCTTGTATTGTCCCCTAGCTCCCAGCCTATCTCAAAGCTGTTGCTTAGACACATATATGCGAGGAAGTGAAGACTGAGAGCCCTCGATCAGTCGAGTGACCCACTCACCCAATCTTTGGGACAGCGCTGAGCAGCCCTGACTTCCAGGGCAAGGTGTCGACTCCAGGAACGATAAAAAGAGATGGAGTGGATCGGCAGGAGCTCCTTGTGACCTGGTCACGAGTACGGGCTCAGTCCGATAGTCAGCAAGTGAAATCGGGGAGTCCTGTTGTGGGGGAGAGCGGGTAATGGCACAGCGAGAATTTTGAAGCCGAGAAGGATGATTGCCGGCGAGAAGAGAAGGGAAAGAAGATTGACCTCCGGTGTACAGTGAATATGTATCTCGCTGACAGTTTACAGTGATTACCAGGTAGTAGGTATTTAGTGACCCGTGCCTGTGGTGATTGGGTTGACATTTGATATTCAGTTGAACAGTGATTGAGCCGGCAGCTTGGGCCGCGTTTCTCTCATGCCTTACATCTCAGGTGCTTGGTCCCTCTGCTGTAGTGCTCGAGCTGGTTGTGATTGTCGTACATCGCATACTCGACTGGAGTTGGATGTGCACATCCAACCCTAGCGGGATATATACATCCAACCATGAAAATACACTACCCGCGGCCCGAACGAAGGCCTCCCATACAGATATTTACGGCTATATATTAAATATATTGGAGCCAGCGATTCTCCACCAAAGTGTAGAGCCCACAGAACAGCAGAGCTATATGGAAACCGACCACAAAAATGACTTGTTAATTCTGAGCCTGAACAAGTCAGGCCAGTTAATCCACCGCAGATGGTTAGCCTACGGCAGTCTTATCTACGACTATATAAAATTTTATCCTCGGCCGAATCAACAAGTGGGGTCCCATAGCTCAGTTGGTTAGAGCGTAACGCTAATAACGTTAAAGTCGAGGGTTCGACCCCCTCTGGGACCATCTTTTTGTCCCCATGCATTCTATTTTTGCTAGTGTATCTTATCTTATCCGAGTTGAGATCTGTAGGCAGACAGTGTTGGGGTTGCTCTTCTTATTGTTCAATTTGCGGAGCAGAGGGTCGTTGTGGGTGGAGGGTACTAGATATGCCTGTTTCATGAGTATGAAGAGTGGAATGCACCCATGCTCGGATCCGATGAGATGCTATGTATGTGCAGCGCAAGTAGTGGTATCTAGCCCGTATGAAGAAGTCTATGCTATCGTCCCCGTAACCCCAAGTACCAGTAACAAGGAAGTATAGTACTTAAAACCTAACGATCACCCTTCTTCCACCCCCTCACCTCCTTCATCGCCTCCTCCACCAACCACACACTCACATCCTGCGCATCCCGACCGACCCGCCAGCTCCCCAGCACCACACCGCGGGTCTCGAGCAGCTCCTGTGCGCGCTCCCACCGACGCCGCCACATTTCTTCCCGTTTATTCGGCAGCGGCGCGGCAGGCGGCGGGTTCTGGGAACTCCCGGTCCGGTCCGTGGCACTGCCGGTGTTGGTTCGATTAAGTGAGGAGTTCGACTGCGTGGAGCGGAGGATGTTGGCCGGGGAGGCGGACCAGTTCAGACGTTCGGAGGCGTACTGCAAGGCTGCGGAGGCTGCTGCGGCGGGGTAGGATTGTTGCTGCTGCTGCTGCTGCGGCGGTGGCTTTTGAGGCGGGGTGGGACGGTTGGCTGTGGATTGCTGAGATGAGCCGGAGCTTTCGACGGACGCCAGGGTGTTGGCTCGACGAGGCGGAGGTGGAGGCGGAGGTTGCTTCGAGCGGGTAACCTTTGCATCTCCCATCTCCCGGTCGAGACCGGCGGTCTTCGGCCGCGTGGGTAGTTGCTGCCTCGTGTTTTCCACAGCTGCGGTCCGGTCCGGCGAGACTTCAGGCTTGGTGGAGGACCGACGCGGCGGTAGTGGAGGCACGGGCTTCCGTTTGATCGACTCCCCCACCGACATATCGGGGTTTGTTGAATTCGAGCGGAGAGAGGAAGGCTTCGACGGTTTGGTCGGGGGTGTCCGTCCGGCAGGAGATACCGAGGGAGTCCTTCGGTCCCGGGATGAGGCTTCACGCTCGTCGTCATCGCGAAGATCGATCAGATCTCCATTGTCCAGGCTGACGGCATCTGCAGATGGGTTGTTGGCCGATGATGCGAGAGGCCGGCGAGGCGGGAGCGCCGGCCGTTTGGGGGCTGCATCGGAGTCGTCGACAAGCTGGGGATCGCTGCGACTCGCAGTCACTTTGTGTTCCAGATAGTCCACGGACTTCTCGAAAAATTCCTTCTTGTGAGTCGTCGTGACGTCGCGGATGAAGATGCCCAGGATCCTGCCTGGGTTGGCCAGGACGATATCGGTATAGACCTCCAGATCCGCCTCGCCGCTGTCGCCGACCAGGATGAACTTCCGCGAAGGGAAGTCTTTCAGGATCTGCTCGAGATTGCCCTTCTTCCGCTCCGCCGTGGGCTCAAAGATCCCCTGGAGCATCCCACTGTACTGCTTGAGATGAATCGAGCCCGGAGGCAAGCCGACTTGCTTGAAGTACCGCTCCAGGAGCGGGTAGAGCTGCCACGGGGCGTTCGAGACATAATGGAAATCCACCCC